GTTTTTGAGAGACCGCATTCAATTTTTTTATCTTTTCAGCCTTTGAACTTTTCTCCTCTGATTCTTCTTTACTAGTAGTTTTCTTCTTCGCTTCCAGATCTCTCTTCTAATTCATCTATTGAATATGATTTTCGACCATCTACATCTAAATCTTTTTCTCTGGCGGTTTTCTGATATTGTCTTAAAATATTTATTCTTTCTCGATCTTCCTTAGAAAGATCATCGCTTAAAGACAGGCTTTTTTTCCTAAGCTCCTTTAATTTATTAGTATCTTTAACCAAAGCTGATTTTTATTTAGATATGTAGCGAATTCTACCAATACTGGAGCGTTTTCAGATTTTTGGTTTACTCAAAAAATATACTTTTATTTTATCACGTCTCAAATTAAATCATGGACGGTTTCCTGTCCATCTACATAAAATAAAAATCATAGACTTTCCTCCTTGTATTTGCAATAATACGTTGGTTGGAGACGCCAATCACCTATTCGTTAAATGTCAAAATTATGCATTACAAATATCTGTGCTACATAAATCTTTAATCTCTTCTAGTAAATTGACATCTTTTCTGACATGCACCGATAAACATATCCTAGATATTTTTATTAAATTTATACGGGATACTAAACTAGGTATTTGAGATACCTTCTTTTATTCCTTTCTTTTCTTTATTCCGTTTTTATTATTTAAACATTCTATGGCAAATGGACACCGTCCGAAGCCACATCTCTAACACACACACACATATTTAAAAATTCTAATTATATTTTCCATAAAAAAGCTTGTAAAAGTACCATCAAAGCCATTCCTATGCCGTACTTTTCATCACAATGAGATGTGACATTGATTACTGTTATTAGGTCCTGCTTCTTAGAACTCCAATTTGTAGGGAGGGTCAATTTATGCAAATATTTCAATTTCTTTTAGTAGGTAATTTCCTCGCGGGTTGATGATGGTGCTAACGATTTAAAACGGATTCATCGTCTTTTAATTTACAAATTATCTTTGCACTTGTTCAGCGAGTTGTTTATATCCTTTTAAGGCAACTTGATTGAGAAAAATGTTAAAATTAAGTCGTAAACCAAAAGTAAACTATAAACCGGTCATTAAAATAAATAAAAAGTGATTATTTATATGGTACAGTGGCGATTAATAATGAAATGTGTCTTGTAAATTATTTTTCTATAACTGGTCGTTATTTTGTCTACTTGTTCAAATGGGAAAATAAATTAACTGAATATTTTCAACATTTAAAATTACATATTCTTCAGTGGCAAAACTAAAATAATTAAAGTTTCTGTAAAAACGGAAAAATTACATAGAATAAAATAAAATACATTGTAACGGGTAAGACACATCTTTAATATCGTTATTTTTTAAACATTTCTTTTGTCCTATTTTTACTGTAAACAGATAAGGAAAGTATACGTTTTAGGGTCCCCTGAATCCATTTCGACTATTTTGCAAATATGTTTCTTTCTCTCTCTCTCTCTCTCTCTGTGTGTGTGTGTGTGTGTGTGTGTGTGTGTGTGTGTGTGTGTGTGTGTGTGTGTGTGTGTGTGTGTGTGTGTGTGTGTGTGTGTGTGTGTGTGTGTGTGTGTGTGTGTGTGTGTGTGTGTGTGTGTGTGTGTGTGTGTGTGTGTGTGTGTGTGTGTGTGTGTGTGTGTGTGTGTGTGTGTGTGTGTGTGTGTGTGTGTGTGTGTGTGTGTGTGTGTGTGTGTGTGTGTGTGTGTGTGTGTGTGTGTGTGTGTGTGTGTGTGTGTGTGTGTGTGTGTGTGTGTGTGTGTGTGTGTGTGTGTGTGTGTGTGTGTGTGTGTGTGTGTGTGTGTGTGTGTGTGTGTGTGTGTGTGTGTGTGTGTGTGTGTGTGTGTGTGTGTGTGTGTGTGTGTGTGTGTGTGTGTGTGTGTGTGTGTGTGTGTGTGTGTGTGTGTGTGTGTGTGTGTGTGTGTGTGTGTGTGTGTGTGTGTGTGTGTGTGTGTGTGTGTGTGTGTGTGTGTGTGTGTGTGTGTGTGTGTGTGTGTGTGTGTGTGTGTGTGTGTGTGTGTGTGTGTGTGTGTGTGTGTGTGTGTGTGTGTGTGTGTGTGTGTGTGTGTGTGTGTGTGTGTGTGTGTGTGTGTGTGTGTGTGTGTGTGTGTGTGTGTGTGTGTGTGTGTGTGTGTGTGTGTGTGTGTGTGTGTGTGTGTGTGTGTGTGTGTGTGTGTGTGTGTGTGTGTGTGTGTGTGTGTGTGTGTGTGTGTGTGTGTGTGTGTGGGTGCGTGGGTGCGTGGGTGCGTGCGTGCGTGCGTGCGTGCGTGCGTGCGTGCGTGCGTGCGTGCGTGCGTGCGTGCGTGCGTGCGTGCGTGCGTGCGTGCGTGCGTGCGTGCGTGCGTGCGTGCGTGCGTGCGTGCGTGCGTGCGTGCGTGCGTGCGTGCGTGTGTGGGTGGATGCGTGCGGCGCGCGTCTGTGCATGTGTGTGGTGTGTGTGTTTTCATTTTTTTAAGAAAATTGTTTAAATAAAAGTTGTTTGTAATATAATTTTCTATAATTTTTATTCTATACATAATTTCTGTAAAATGAAACGTATTCAAGATATTTGAGAAACGGTGTAAATTTCGAATCTTGAAGAAAACTCAAAAACGGATAAAGGAAAAACATTAAATTTTAAATTTCTGAGGGGGTACTTTATGAGAGTTCGTTTTTATATTTACTGGAATATATCTGTTATTTATGTTTGAAGAAGAAAATTCTTTAAATAAAAGTTACTTCTAATATTACTCTTTATAATTATTTCATTTTACCAAATTTTCCTCAAATTTTCCGTATTCGAGAAATTTGACAAAATGTTCAAAATTCTAATTTTTAAGAAAATTGTTATAATAAAAGTTGTTTGCGATATCTATCTCTATAATTTTTGTGTTTTACATAAGAAAAAGTGTTAAATTTTTCAGTATTTTCGTTTTCAATGACTATATATATACGAAAAATCAAAAATTGAAAAATCACAAAATCGAAAATTCAAAGAATCGAAAAATCGAAAAATCGAAAAATCGAAAAATCGAAAAATCGAAAAATCGAAAAATCGAAAAATCGAAAAATCGAAAAATCGAAAAATCGAAAAATCGAAAAATCGAAAAATCGAAAAATCGAAAAATCGAAAAATCGAAAAATCGAAAAATCGAAAAATCGAAAAATCGAAAAATCGAAAAATCGAAAAATCGAAAAATCGAAAAATCGAAAAATCGAAAAATCGAAAAATCGAAAAATCGAAAAATCGAAAAATCGAAAAATCGAAAAATCGAAAAATCGAAAAATCGAAAAATCGAAAAATCGAAAAATCGAAAAATCGAAAAATCGAAAAATCGAAAAATCGAAAAATCGAAAAATCGAAAAATCGAAAAATCGAAAAATCAAAAAATCGAAAAATCGAAAAATCGAAAAATCGAAAAATCGAAAAATCGAAAAATCGAAAAATCGAAAAATCGAAAAATCGAAAAATCGAAAAATCGAAAAATCGAAAAATCGAAAAATCGAAAAATCGAAAAATCAAAAAATCGAAAAATCGAAAAATCGAAAAATCGAAAAATCGAAAAATCGAAAAATCGAAAAATCGAAAAATCGAAAAATCGAAAAATCGAAAAATCGAAAAATCGAAAAATCGAAAAATCGAATAATCGAAAAATCGAAAAATCGAAAAATCGAAAAATTGAAAAATCGAAAAATCGAAAAATCGAAAAATCGAAAAATCGAAAAATCGAAAAATCGAAAAATCGAAAAATCGAAAAATCGAAAAATCGAAAAATCGAAAAATCGAAAAATCGAAAAATCGAAAAATCGAAAAATCGAAAAATCGAAAGCCTCTTTTGAAAAAAATCTAAGAAAAAAACGAAAAGAAATAGAAATGTAAAAAAATGCTAGAAGAGAACAATATATTTAATTTTTGCCTACAGGAGCATTGATTTTTATTACAATAAAAATAGAAATACGTTAAAAGCTTTTTCGTCTAGCAGGGTGACGCCAACAAAATATATATCTTTTTCTACTATTTAGTGATAATCGTAAGTGATTTGAATTCATGTTGTTATTTTTAACATACAGTAATTTCGCTTAATTATGTTAAATTAATTTTATTATTTATTTATTAAAAAAATATATATCCGAAATTGGAAGGTATACACTGAGATGTGAATTATAAATATGTTTTTGTTTAATGAATACTTCTTCGAGTCAACAATAATTATTAATTCAAGCATGTTAATATCTCTTCAATCCGTTAAAGTAATGTAAATATTTTTTCTTGGTTTCGCGCATGGCTTTGATCTGTCGCACCCTTTGAGGCGCGTTGCAAGAGAAAATTTTCTAAAATATAAGCCAATGTCTATAAATGAGAAAAAACGATTCTGACAAGCTGATTGTGCATTGTGGCACAATAAAAGACGGAAACGAGTCACTGCTTTAAAATTTGTAGAAATTTGTAAAAAATCTCTTAAAATATTTTATTTCTTAAGCCACCCGATATGGCATGAACCATAAACTCAGAGCAAAATAAGATTTGGTAATTTATTTGCAAGTAAAAAAGTTTTTAAATGTGGACATTTTATTGAATTCGAATTTGATTATGATGCTGCTAGTCTGGATGGAATTAAAAAAAAACAAAACTCTATGATAGAGTTAAAATGTCCATGTGGAGCTGAAGTGCTGACTGTAGAAGAAGAAATATGCAGTAGAGAAATAACTTTTTGGAAAAAGGACAATACCATTAAGCAGAACCACTATTTGTATTTTCAAATTCAGGGCTAGCTGCACATAACACGAATGGATTTTTGCATTTTCTTCTTTTGTGCTTTTGGATTTCTGGAGGAATAAAAGTGGAGAAATTATCTCATAATGACAGCTTTTGGAAAGAAAAGATACAAAATAAAATTAAAAATTTTTATATGCAATATGCCTTGCCGGAACTTGTTAATTTTTAGGGGATTTGCGACCTCTTTTAAGGTCTCAGCTTTTATATCATCTAATCCAGGCGCTTTCCTTGATTTAAAAGTTTTTATTGTTTTTATAATTTCCTCTTCACTAGTGTGTGACAAAAACATGCTTTTTCCAAGTGTTGAGATTTTGTCTTCGAAATTAACCGGTTCTTTAATTTTTTTCAGCATATTATTCTCACAAGTCGCTAAAACAATTGTTAAATTCGTTGGCGATCTGAAAGTCATTATGAATTAAGTCATTGTTTTTCGATAATATTTGAGATATTTTTGTTCATATCCAGAGTGTCTAGG